GTCTTGTAACACTACCTTTTGTCACATCTTCTTTTTTTATGTCATTTCTTCTTTTCTTTATGTTACTTCTTCTTTTTCAATTGTCTCTCGCATTATTGCTCTTGGTTTTCTTTGTCTTTGCTGCTCTCAATTGCTTCTGACTGAGATCTTGCTTCTTTTTACGTGTCTAAGTTATGTAGAGCTATTGAATCAAAACTCATTCCTGAAACATCTTCATATGGATCTTGAGCATCTTGATAATTTAAGTAGTTTTCATCTTCGTAATTATCATCTTTTCCTGAGCTTTGAGACCTTTCTGTACTTGGATTAAGACTGAGATTTTTAATCATATGTCTGTCTTGTTTTTCTTTTTCTTGAAAGAAATTTTCTAATGTTTGTTTAATTATGTTTTCTATTTTCTCATTTTTTTTCTTTTTAGAAATTATACCCTTCTTTTTTAATGCTTCTCCCTGTGTTAGTGTTCTAGGTAGTCTTCATTTTTATGATCCTTCATCTTCACTTTTTGGCAAAGTGAGAGCCATAAACAGATTTGATGTGTCTTTACCGGTCACCGTTTGAACCGGACTTGCTGTATCATTATCCGATATAATAGATTTTACTGCATTCATCGGGGAATGCACACCCTTCTTATCCATTTTTTCTTGAGATGGAGAACTCTATTTTGGACTACTCATCTCCGTGTCTTGTTGAGAAATAACTTGAGTCTGGGATTGTGCCAAATTTTAATGCATGTACTCCCTATTCTAGTACCTTCACTTGCTCCATAAGTCTTGTTTTTTCCTGTGCCAGGATTTCATTCTTCTGGTTTATTCGTTTCAAGGTTTCCGTCATTGATGAGCAATGATCACAGAATATTATCTTATCGTTGTCTTTTTGGATGTTAAATTGGGGGATTTTTTCTGGGTTTTGTCTGAGTGCTGGGGAGATATAGTAGTTTGGTCTTAGTATTCCTCTTGCATAGTCTAATGCTTCAGTGAAGTCATTGAAACATTTGAAAAGCGGTTTTTCTAAATCTTTAATAGAGTCTAGTATTTTTAACCATGCCTGAAAAATTTCGTTTGTCTTACCATGTATAACTACATAGTATTTAAATCGCTTTTCTTGGTTTTTGTCTGTAAAATATTGTCCTAAGGCATTAAGAGCCGCTATAAAATATTTAGTGTCTTTTTTATTATATGCTATCCATAAGTTATCTATTAAACATCTTTGAGGTCTATCTATGACACATTCTGGTAAAACTCTAAATGATATGTTTGATGGTGGAAATAATATTAATTATGTTTTTCAAAACTTATCCTATCCATATTAGTTTGTTCTACAAAAGATTGTGGTTTAAAATGAAAACTACCTAATACTATCTGCAAGTATTTGTCTGAGGGTGAGGCTTGAATGCCTTTTCCTTTGTCTTCAGTCTTAGGAACTGTTGGTCTCATGTTGTACATGTAAAATATTTTTATTAATTGACAGTAATTTTAAGCCTACTTAACTGATCTGCTAGATTATTATCTTTTCCTTTAATATGTTCAAAAACCAAATTATATATTGATATAGTATCAATAAAATTTAACCATCTTTTTCTACTACTATTCTTTGCATTTATCTTTTGGTGAAACTTAACTATAGCTTCGCAGTCAGTTCTAATTGTTACTTCTTGTTTATTCAATATATATAATTTAAAACTATTTAATCCGACGATTACAGCTTATATTTCTGCATCTATACTACTCATATTTTCTTTTTCTCTATATTTACCACTTTTTAAGCACATATTTTTTCTGTATTCTTATCACTATATTTATTTGGTTTTGCCTTCAAACCTGCTTCCCATCCTTCAAAGCTCCCGTCTGTTTCTATAATTAAGCAATCTGTTTTTAATGGCATATTTAAATCAGAAATATTTTTTATTTTTTCTTTAATTTTTTGTACTAATTTAATGTTTTTTGTGTTGCAATGTTTTTGTCATGTAGATCATGTCTTAGCATATAGTGGTCCTGCTATTTTTCCTAAGTCTTTTATAAAATTTCTTGCATAATTTACTATTTCTAAAAACTTTTGTAGTTCTTTAGTATTGTCCAATTTATCTTGCATTTCTAGAGCCTTTTTAGCTATACGAGGTTGTAATTTATTTTTTCCATCCCCTAAAACTACTCCTAGAAAATTTATATAATTTTTACATAGTTTCATTTTCTTTTTACTAATTATTATTCCATTATCTACAAATAATCTAAGTATTGTCTGTAGATGTCCTAAATGTTCTTTAATATCCTTACTAAATACTAATATATCATCTATATATGCTAAAACAAATTTCTTATATTCTCCAAATATACTATCTATTTTTCGTTGAAAAATTGGTAGAGCTGTTTTTAGTCCGAACGACATTACTAACCCATCCATGCTTAATCTACTTATGTTCGCTCCTCTTAGTTTCTTTAATTCGTTATATGTTTTCCAGAAACAACGGCATACAGGCATTCTCATATGCCATTTGTACAACCAGAAACAGTGCTGGCTTGGTGCAATTTTCTTCTACTACAAGATTTATAAGCTGAATAATTTAGAACTTGACTTATATACGCTGACATTGTAATCTTGTGTTACTATTAGTTTATTTTAATCGAATATAGAAGGTAAATTCACTATAGTTTTAAGTTACTAAATCATGATTATTATGGACAATTACTTATTGCTATAGGTATCTGGGACACAATAAAATTAATGGAGTTGCACACAAGTTGATTCGAACACCATAGTTTCATTAAAAAAAGGGAATATACAAGAAAAAGGGGCAACATATGCACCACCTTCATATATTTCTGTTAAAGATAACATGTCCATTTGATTAAGTTTTATGATTCCTTAATTGATAGCCAAATCTTGGTTAGCCACTATTTCTTAGGAATTCCCAAATACTTGGTACTACAAGACATGGAGTACCTCAGTAGAAAACTCAAGACACTACAAACAACCTAGATTTTAATTTTCATTCTAAATGCTCAAAGCTGCAGCTTATTCAACTATGTTTTGCAGATGATTTACTTCTCTTCTGCAGGGGAGATGAAATCTCAGTTCAATTGCTCATGAACTGTTTTAATGAATTCTCACAATGCTCAGGACTGATAGCAAACAGAGACAAAAGCTCTATTTATTTTAGAGGGGTAAGCAGAGAGGTGCAAGAGGAAATTCTAACAACACTGGAGTTTACAAAAGAGGAGTTACCTATTAGGTTCTTGGGCGTCCCTCTGAGCTCCAAAAGACTATCCCTAGTATAATGCCAACCACTTGTAGAGAAGATGTTGCGAAGGATAACTTCATGGACCACAAAATACTTGTCCTGTGCTGGGCGACTCCAACTATCAAGAGTGTACTATTCTCAGTCCAAGTGTTCTTGACCCAAATCTTTGTGCTACCTAAGAAAGTTGTGAAACTGATAGAGGCAACATGTAGAAGCTTTCTCTGGACTGGCACAACAAAGATATCAAAGAGAGCATTGTTGGCTTGGGAAAAAGGTTTGTTGGCCCAGAACAACCGGGGTTTTTAATGTAATACACATTGAAACTTGGAACAAGGCAGCAATAATTAAACTTCTGTGAAACCTATGTACCAAAAAAGATAAACTATGGATAAGGTGGGTCCATATATACTACGGAAAGGGGAAGAATATCTGGGAGGTCCAAGTGAAGCAAGCATCCTGGGTACTACTCAAAATTCTTAAAGTTAAGGCATACCTAGAAAGGGCATGAATGGAGGTTACAGAGTTGATGAGCCAACAATCCTTCTCTATTAAAAAGATGTACCATATAATGAGAGGGGAGTTCCCAAAGGTGCCATAAAGGAGACTAACTTGCAACAACTATGTTGTTCCTAGGTGGAGTTTTATAATAAATTTGGCGATCCAAGGGAAGTTGCACGCGAAAGATAAGGTCGCAGGATGGGGCAAAGCAATAGACCAAAAATGTGAGTTGTATAATGAGGAAAATGAAGCCATTCCACACTTATTTTTTGAATGTAGGATGGCAAAAGAAATCTAGGGGAGACTACTGAAATGGCAGGGATTCCAAAGGTCGGTATTGAAGTGGGATGAGGAGATTGAATGGACAGTCCGAGAAATAAATGGAAAGAAAGCCATTGCGGAGGTCTACAGAATGACTCTCGCAGGGTGTGTCTACTATATATGACTTGAGAGGAATACAAGATTGTTCCAGGACAAGAAGAAGACTGTTGATGGGATCCTTCGGCTGATAGTACAAGACATATTTTATCAAGGAAACAAGAAGTCAAAAGTAGCTAATAGATTAAAAGAATTGGATTCATATCCATAGGGAGTGAATGTAGAAGATAGATAGATAGAAAGTACCCAGTAGTTGGGGCACTATGCTCAGCTCGCGGGTGTAATTTGTCTGATTTTGTAGGTTTGAAACTCTGTACATAACATTGCTTGGTAATAAAATTCTTTATTTACCATAAAAAAAAAAGCTAGGTTCTTTATATTTTTAGATATTTAGGGCCTCTGTTAGCAATTCTTGATCTTCCCTAATGCACCCAATTAACCACATTTGATTATTGGTATGAGTTCTAAACAAATATCCTTTGATAGGATACTTATTAAACTCCTAAATTAAAGAAATTATGATCAGACTTAGCCCATGCATTTTGGAAGGAAAAAAAAACTAATATATCATTGACAGATCTTGAATAAATGAGTAAATTTGATGTGAGCCTTTGTCTGCCTTTGTCTCTCAACAATTAATAAAATGGTCCCAAAATATTAGTTGGCTGCTACCATCAAACTTTGTTATGTCTCCACATATAATTGAACAGAAACGATCTGAAATTTGGAGCTTTTGAATTCATTGAACCTAATTCTTGGACCACGTATTCACTTTTTTCCTTTTTTCCATCATCATTTTGAAAGGTCCCTCCTCCCTTTAATTCAGCTTCTCATGAAAAAAATTACTATAGTAGTCTGTGGCCAGGTTTTTTTTTTACCCTAAAAGAGAAGGTAACAAAGTTTCTCACAACTACAAGAAAAGAGTGTTTTAGGAAATTACAATAGAGCAAAAATAATTTATACACTCAATAGAAGATTTTTTTTTTAAAAAAAGGGGAAAAAAGGTGAAAGGGAGAATGAAGCAAAAGAAGAATTATTAGGTTACTATTTTCTTGCAAGAGGAGATCCAAGATTGAGCCTCTTACTCAGCTTCCATATTTATAAGGGAGAAAGAAATTTGTAGTACATACCCTTACTTTATTGCTATCCCCACCTCTCCTTGTTTTCCTATTCATTACTCATAACATAATTCTCCTTGTACCAAGGCTACCTTCATATCCCCATATCTCTCTTTCATTTTCTTTGAGAAACAAAGAAAGAAAAATGGGGAGAGGAAGAGTGGAGTTAAAGAGAATAGAGAACAAAATCAACCGTCAAGTGACTTTCTCTAAGCGTAGGAATGGTTTACTGAAGAAGGCTTATGAACTTTCAGTGCTATGTGATGCTGAAGTTGCTCTCATCATTTTCTCTAGTCGTGGAAAGCTTTATGAGTTTGGTAGTTCAGGGTATAATATAATATACTAAGCTTTTTTGAACTGTTTTATACATTAATAATATGCGTGTCAAGATTTCTTGTATGGTTTTTAATGGCCGATTCTGAATATGGGGTTTCTTCTAAATCAACAAAAGATTACAACTTTATGTTTGTTTTCATCTGGGGGTGGGTTTGTGTTGTGTTGTGTTGTGTTTTTAGTTTATGTGGGAGTGGGTTTAAGCCTAATATAATTAGGCTGACTCTTCTTTTTGGAGAACTGAACTTGCTAAATTGGTATTGGCTTTTGCAGTGCTTTATAGAAGCACCAATTTATTTTATCTATTGTGTCTCTTAAGTGGAGTTAGTTTTTTGTTTTTCAGATTTGGATCTTTCTTTCTTTTTCTTTCTTTTTCTCAGTTGTATGTTTGATCAAAACCATGTGATGATCTATATGATTAGATTTTACCAATGAGGAATTGACACGTTTCAATATATGGTTTGAGAGCTTCCACCAAACAAATTAAAAGATCAGAGAGTAAGGACTGACGAGGTTGTTAAGTGTATGTGCTTCAGAAACATCTCCAACCCTTTTGGACAACTGTGCAAAGATCTAGGGTTTCTCTCCATTTTGTTCCTACTACTATTAATTAATTCCCTTCCTTTTTCGTTTTCTTTTTTCTCTCTGCTCCAACTTAATTTGCTCTTATTTTTCTTTAATGCTTTTGCAGTTTTTGGGAGCACTTATTAGTCCAATGGTTCTAAAAAATCAGAAAGCTTTAAACTTTGTCTTCTTACTTTTTCATCATTAAATCTTGGGGTTTCTTCACTGATTTCTTCTACCATACTCATAGTTTTTATTTCTGTATAACTAAATCCTTTGTGTAAAAGGAAGCATTGTATACTGCACAGCAAAAAGAGTGGCATGCCTGTGAGAAGGGAATTTGTTCATATGCGAGATTTACATTTATCAGTTTTGCAGGTAGTACTATTTTCTATGTAAGAAAATGAGTTTTCTTTTTCAATTCCCAAACCCCAACAACTGCTCCATCAACATTTCTTTTATCTTCCCATTTTGGTGAAACTTATCTATATAACTGAGCCTTAGATTCTTGAGCTTTTCCATATATTAGCAACTTTTCTTCCAGCTCATGAAGTGATGAAACTGAGTACTTTTATTCCGATTCAACCCCTTAAACTTCTCACTGAAGGTCCTTTTTTTCATCCTTTTGTTTATGTTTTCTTTCCTCTTCAGTGGCAGTGCAGGTTTTCCTTGCATATATATTGTTTTTCATTTTCTTCACATTTTTGACATCATTTCCTTATTCTCAAATTGTATAGTTCAAGAATGTTTTTGTTGAAAATATTGCTTCTTTCTTTTTGGCATCTTGATAATATCTCTGGTTTTCTCACTTATATACATAACCAAGAGTTTCATCAATGTCTTGGGGTAAATCCAAGTAAACTTATCTTCTACCTCATTTTATTTTAGTGTTGATAATTTTTTTTTCTGATTTGATTTCTCCTTTAATTTCCCCTATCTGATATTGTAGATCCGTAGTTGGATTCTTGTTTTCATAATCACAACTACTACCATCACTTTTGTTTAGAATTAGGGTTTTGTATGGAGAAAATATCATTATCTTTGTTAGTGAAGGCAAAAAGATAATCTGATCCTTACATTTAAGTACAAAAGGATATGGATCCTTATTAATATAATGTCTAAATGGTTTTGTTTATGTTTCTAATTATGCTTAAGGAATAGCAAAGCGAATTTCTTTTCGCACTTTCCAAATATAGAAAGGTTGGAAGAAGCAAAAAGACAACCACGTCCATGCTGTTCTTATGGCCAATAAAATAAATGGAGTAAATGAATAGAAATGAGAAGACTTTGCCATTTTAACCCTTTGGCATGTCATCATGTTTCTTTCACTTCTTCCTCTTCTCCCCCAACTGCTTATGTACTCTTCCAGCTTTTTGCCTCTACTGTTTTTTTCCTTCTGCTGTGTATGCCCCTTTCTTCCCATTGTATATTCAATAGTTTTCTTATCTTTTAGAGTTTTTTGTTTGTTTGTTTTTGTTTTTTTTTTCCTTTTTTGGTATAGGGTTGGTGGTAGATTGTTAATTGGCATTATCTTAAATATAGTTTAATTTTATTATCTCGAAGATTTACTGAATATGGTAGTGGAAAGCTTGGTACAGGCTCCATCTAATACACATTATTGAGTCGTGAGTATAGAAAGAGCCAAAATAATTTTCTTTTTTAAGTAAAAACTTTTTGTTGCTCTCCCAAAAGAAAATGATCCATATTATTATATTAATTTTTGGCAGAAAAGAAAAAAAACAAAGAACGACCTAGAAAATTTGCTTCTTTTTTTTTTAAACAGAAAATTTACTTTTGGTTACTGGAAATAGTCATTTTACATAAATATATATAAAGATTTGTCTTTGCATGGCTATAATGTGCAGGAAAGATTTCAATTTAACATTTTATTCATTCTTCAAAATTGTGAACGTTTAACAAAGTATCAATGGTTACTTGTGATTTAGACTCTTAATTTTTAGGTTCTACCGGCTTAATCCAGGATATCTGTGACAGTTTCTGTTAAGTGCTAAAGGCTGCACTCTATGGCATTTCTGTAGGATTTACTTATATGCACTGATAGTGAAATGAATTTTTATAACATTTTAAATAAGATATAAAATTTTGGTATAGTAAAAGTCCTCTCAGTAAATCATGGCCATGGTGTACGTTAATGTCTCCATGTGTTATCTGATACTTGTTACTTGTAGCTGCTAAATTCCTTGTAGGAGAATTGAGTGTTGTTCAGAGTGGTAACTTACCAATCTGTTTAGCTGGCATTTTCTTGTAGTTTGTCAAGAACATTTTGTAGCTATTTATGAATTGTAATAATAACATATTATAAATTGTACTCCCTCCGTTTCAATTTATGTGAACCCATTTGACTGGGCACGGAGTTTAAGAAAAGAGAGAAGACTTTTGAACTTGTGGGGTAAAATGAGGCACACATATTTTGTGTGGCTATAAATCATTGCATAAAAGTAAATTGTTTCCAAATAAGGAAAGGGGTCATTCTTTTTGGCATGGACCAAAAAGGAAATAGGTTCACATAAATTGAAACGGAGGGAGTAACATGTATGGTTTAGAGTTTGATTATTGTGTTTTTTATGTGCTGGCAGTATCACTAAAACCCTTGAGCGATATCAACGTTGTTGCCTTAATCCTCAAGACAACTGTGGTGAGAGAGAAACACAGGTGAATTTGCAGCTTAATGTTCTATGTTTCCACACCAATTAATCAATTGGCCTCTCATGATTTATGGTTTTTCCTAAGCATAATTTGTTTTTGTTGTAAACTTAGAGCTGGTACCAAGAGGTCTCAAAACTAAAGGCCAAATTTGAAGCCCTTCAACGAACTCAAAGGTTATGTCAATTGCTTATTCAGACACATCTTGGCACCTTATGCATGTTGTACATAAATGTACCACACACTGAAGATAAACATAATAAATTCGTGTCCATCCTTGAAAGTGAATATTGTCGAATTTCTGAAATGTTATTTTGATGCATGAAGGCACTTGCTTGGTGAAGATCTTGGACCTCTAAGTCTGAAGGAGTTGCAAAATCTTGAAAAACAACTTGAAGGTGCACTTGCACAAGCTAGACAAAGAAAGGTATTAGATTGTTCTCAATAATTGCCTTTGCTTCATTTCCTTTTCTACAACTAAGTCTTTGTAAATGTTTCAATATAATATGAATTGTATCTACAGTATTTAAGATTTGTTTAGACTAAAAAAATGTTATAAGAAATGTACAAGCGACAAGGACACAAGAATCAAAGGACCAAAAACTTTAAAAATAAGAAAATACTGGAAGAATTAAAACGGGTATCAATACTCAATTAGTGTTCTAATTTGGTTGTAATATTGCCCTCTTTATCATTGTTTCGTATAATATGTAGACCTCTAATGATTTTTATTTATTGGTAATAAGCATTGTTTTCTCTGTGTAGACACAAATAATGGCGGAACAGATGGAGGAGCTCCGTAGAAAGGTAAGTCAAAATATGCAGAAAGACAAATACTTCACTTTGATCAGTACAAACAAATTAGAAATATGATTTTTCCTAGTTATCACAATTATAAATTTGTTATAAAAGGTGAAAAAGATTGGGGATTAAGAGTTGGAAGGGATTTGAAGTCCTAGAATCTCAAGAACACTAGATTCCGTCTTTTTGTGTCATGGTGAATGATACTACAGCTGATAAAAATTGTTTGAGTCCAAACTATAATGTGATGTGACATACTATTGAGTCAATAGCCATTGAACCTAGACCTCTTTATAACGAAAAAAAAAAAAGAGTTGAATTTGCTAGATGGTTACTCGCTACAGCCTTTATATAAGTCTCGCCTAGTTTCTCCCGTCCATTAATCTCAAGGAAATTAGTGACTCGAGGTACACCTAAAGAACTACAATCAGAGAGTCTAATAGATTGGAAAGAAAGAAAATGTGAGGTGAGTCGAACAACATACATCTTGGTAATTGGTATTATCACCATATATACCAGTTCATTGAGATTAATAGGATTTCTGAGTTAGCAGAGGTAATAAAAAAATGGAGAACTACAGTGTAATAATCTATTTTGACATGATAATGCATTATGTTGTCAGGAGCGTCAACTTGGTGATGTGAACAAGCAACTGAAGATTAAGGTTTCTTTGGAACTATCATCGGTATTCATTCAAACTTGAGAAATATATATATCTGCTGCTTTGTGGAGACTGTATATATATTGAAGAGTTTGTTTTCCTATATTGGCAGCTAGAGGCAGAAGGACAAGGACTTAGAGGTCTTCCATTTCCATGGACTTGTAATGCATCAGCTGGAAGCAGCAGTTTCGCTGTCCATCCTTCTCAATCAAATCACATGGAATGTGAACCTGACCCAGTACTTCAAATAGGGTATACCTACATTTCATCAATTTACCTTTGCCTTAAATTTCCATCTTCGCTTTCTTTTACTATAGGGCGGCCTAGCATATAGTGACAGAACCCCGGTTCAATATTTCGTATCATCTTCAACAATTGTCAATCTGAAGGGAATGTGTTGTTTTCCGAACAGGTATCATCACTGCTATATGGCTGCAGAAGGAGCCTCAGGGTCAAGGAGCATGGCCGTTGAGAGTAATATCATCCATGGTTGGGGCCTTTGATTTCTAATTCCCACTTAGCTTCTGGATATAGTATAAGTTTTTGCTTCAAGTTTTCCGAGACTAAAAACTCAGTGACATATTTATGATTTGAAGTGCTTGTCATATAAGGTATAATTTGAGTAAGTGTTTTATACACTCCTGTTTAACTTCATATACTTTCCTATTTTCTCACCAAGTAATGCATAGTTTGACTAAATACATGTAGCATTTATAAAGTCAAAACTTTTAGGGAATATTTCAGAGACCTCCTTTGTGGTTTGGCCTAATAAAACTAACAGGATGGGATAGCTAAGGGTTATTTTCTTGAGCACCTTCTCATTATTATCCTTTTTCTCGAGCATAAAATTATTATACTGTAAGAAAAGCCATGGGTTTTTCTCTGTTGTGATGTAAGGTGGCAAAATTATGCGAAGATATCAATGTTTTCCAAAGCCGGCAAACCCTTTGACATTTCAAAACGCAGTCTACTCAAGATATCAATAATAACACAGACAATTTTGAAATATCATAAAAGTATTATCACCCAAAAGTTAAATAAAGAAATTGACGGAAACATTAAAATAGGGGAGCTAAATGTGATATCACAAACATAGGGGATGTTAGTGTTACCAGATCAAACCATTCTGAAAATTTCACTATATAACTTTCCACAAGGTTTTATTATTTTCTGTCTTCTTTTTTTTTTCCGTTCAGATTACAACTAAATAAAGGTTTGAGAAAAAGGAACCAAAATAAATAATCTTTTTCTATTTTAGGCCAATTAAAGTTGGCAGAATTTAACAGAGCAAGTTCTCTGTGTCAATCAAGTCCTTTGACCAAGTGAATGGATATAAAAATCCGAAAAACTAAACCAAACCGAAAACCAAATCAAACCGATAAAAAAAACCGATACTTTTTGGTTTGGGTTGGTTTTGATTTTGAATTTTAAAAACCAATCAAATTTGGTTTGATTTTGGTTTTAATCAGAAAAAAACGAACCAAACCGACTATAGGAATAACTATTTCAAATTTATTATTACACCTATATATATGTATATTGTTATAGTACAAAGTTTCAAAAAAATTATGGTAAATGTTAATAGAAAACCTATATATAGTTTTCTTTTGTTTAGTGTAAAAATCCATTTCGTGTTAAAAATAACATATTTTTAATTGAGTCCTTAAATTATTCATCACTATTTGATTCAATTATCATCAATATATTTTGGTAAACAATAGATTTCTCAAAGGGCAATTGATTTGATAGTGTTACATTGAAAATGTGGTCGCCGGAATATGTATTTGGTAGTGTATGTCTTATATTTAAGAAAAAACCGACAAATAATCGAAAAAACCGAAAAACCGACATAAACCAAATCGAGAAAAACCGACTTAATTGGTTTGGTTTGGTTCTAATATTTGAAAAACCGACTTAATGGTTTGGTTTGGTTCTAATATTTGAAAAACCGACTTACCTGATTTGATTTCTTTTTAGGGAAAAATCGATCCAAACCGAACCATGAACACCCCTAATTTCCATTCCTTTTGCACAAGGAGGTCAGGCCTAGACCCCTCCTTTGTAATTGTTTTATCTGGAATAAAAGTTCCACACTGTGGGTTATAAAAAAAAAAAAAAATCCTGTGACCAGACAATTGAATAAAGTTAATGAAAAGGAAACCTCAGCAACTCGTCTTATGTTTTCTAGACATGCAAGTATGGTCAATCAAACATTTAAGTCATGGCCCATTGTACCATCATTTCAAGTTGTTTTTTTTTTTTGTGTGTCCGAATTCATGCCTACCTCTTCCTAATAGTGTACGGTGGACCCATCTTGTTAAACTCCTGAATACGCCTATGCGGCTACAACAAAAGTAGGTCAAGAAAATCATGTACTAGTTGTTTGCTTGGGGAACTAATGATTTTTATTCTTTGGTTAACGGGATGATTTTATATATATATATCCGAAAAATTTGTGGAGTTCGAAACCAAAACATAATATTTTTGGATTCAAACGACCGAAATGTGGGGAAAAAAAAGATGGTGACCAAAATATGTATAACGCTCTTCTACGTAAATTTGAAATGACGGGCAAGTATAGTATCGTTTATTAAGGCGTTATAGTATAGCACCTTAATAAATGACGCTATAAAAGACGGTCCCCTTCCCTTCCCCACCAAACAGACCCCCCCCCCCCAAAAAAAAAAAAAAAAATTAAAACAAAACAATTACAGCAGTCCCCCCCTCCCCCATTGACAACGAACAATAGTTCGAGTGGAGCCCACCCATCCCACAAAAAGTAAAGATTCTCGGTTCCATATCCTAGCTAAGGCATTATCTCGTTGTGGATTGCTCGTTTCGGCTCCAAATCACCAAACCTTCAACTTTCCAAAAATCTTAAGTTGAGGTATTCAAACTTAATTTTTGTTAAAACTCGTATAAAAATGCATATTAGTTGTTTTTAATGTGTTCTATGTTGTTTGTGATTTAACTAACTTGTTATTTTTATCCAGACTATGATATTAGTGTGCTAAAAAATTAGTGAAAATAGAAAAATTATTACTAGTTGTTAAAAAAATATTAATTAGTTACTTTTTACTGTGGTATATGTATTTCGTGAATGTTTTGTGATTAAATTTATTTGTTATTTTTATTCGGTTTAGATTATTTATTTGCTTAAAGACTAATAAAATAGATAAATTGTTACTTTAGTTCCCTCTAATGGTATCTTGTAGCCTAATTTAGTGCTCTTTTAGCGTAAAATGTAGTACCCTTTAGTGTAGTATCCTATGTAGTTATTGAAATTAATCCTTGTATAATTAGTTATTACACCCAAAAATATGTCAAAAGAGCTAAATAGTTCAAACACAAACTCTGTCCAATTCTAGTCAACGACAGTAAGAAAATAACATGAGAAAACAACAATATTTCCCGGACTAAGTATGAAAAAACAACAATATGTTCAGGACACCTTGATACTACTGGGCCTCAAATATCGAGCGCGGAATCTATATGTGAATATTTAATAATTAAAATTTTGTATAATTATAAAAATTAATTATTTAATTTTATTATAGTAAAAAATAAGTGAGTCATAAACAAAAATATATAATAATAAAACTAACATATAAATTAATAAAACTAACATATACAATATTAAACTAACATATAAATAGTAAACTAACATTTAAAATAACAGACATGTTGAGTGATAAATCTGGAAAAGTTTCTCATCATGAACACAGGAGTTCAGGATACCTTGGTGCTACCGGCCTCAAATATCGAGTTCAAAACCAATATGTGAATATTTAATAATTAAATCTTGTATAATTATGAATATTAATTATTTAATTTTATTATAGTAAAAATAAGTGAGTAACAAACAAACATATAAAATAATTGTAACGATCCGGCCGGTCGTTTCATGAGTTACCGCTTTTTTTTCCCATTTCTGCTTTTGTATGTGTTGTTCAGCTACATTTCATTGTATCATGTTGGTTGGTTCGGGTTTGGAGTAATTTTGGAGTGTCATGAGACACTTAGTCTCTTAAGTTGGCCATTTAGTTGGAAAAATCAACTGGAAGTTGACTTGTGAGTAAACAATCTCGAAATTTGGTTTTTATGGCTCGGATAGCTTTGTTAGGTGATTTGAGACGTATGAGCGTGTTCGGAATATAATTTGGAGGTCCGTGGTAGATTTAGGCTTGAATTGACGAAATTGGAAATTTGGCGCTTTCTGGTTGGTAGTGGAAATCTTGATATCGGTGTCCGAATAAAATTTCAGAAATTAGAGTAGGTCCGTAGGGTCATTTTTGACGTGTGTGCAAAATTTTAGGTCATTCGGAGTTGATTTGATAGGTTTTGGCGTCGTTTGTGGAATTTGAAAGTTTATAAGTTCTTAGGCTTGAATCCGAGGTTGATTTGGTGTTTTAGTATTTTTTTTGAGTGATTCGAAAGCTCGACTAAGTTTGAATGATGTTATGGGATGTGTTGGCATGTTTGGTTGAGGTTCCGAGGGCCTCGGGTGAGTTTCGGGAGGTTAGCACTGGGGGTGTCTTCGAAGGCTACCACATGTCATCAGTATTATTTCAATGAAAGACGGATTTAAGGCCGAAGTGATCTGACGAAAGATAGGGGCTAGGTCGAGGAGTCAATAGATATCGAGGTCAAGGACGAGTACTCACCTTAATGGGGCAGTAACAACTAGTTTTGTTGATCTCACTTTAAAGAGAATATTTCTAGGATCTGTACTATTAGAGTTTTATGGCACATGACCCCCAATAAATAGAAAGAAACATAGTTATAGCGGGCATGGAACACTCATTTGTAAAAGAAGACTTTGATATTCTCTAGAGATTTTTGCTTCATTACTACATACAAAAGACACCTTTTTCTTGAGATCCATGTCTAGTCTGTCTCCCACGATCCAAGGAGAATACAAATATTTAAAGGCTCACCAATCATTTATCATTGTCAGAAGGAACATCACACGATTCCATCCCGTTTTTAGGTCATATTTGTTACATTTTATTTACATACCATTATATGCTATTTATTACTATTTAATGTTATTTACTTTGTATTTATTCCATTAAGTGTTGTTCATTATTATATATTCATCACTGTTACCACAGATCTTGTAACATATTATCACGACACTAGTTAAACAATCTAGTAGATATTGTTGTTGGCTAAGATTAATCTTATCTTGTTAAGAAAATCTAATTGTTGAAACCTAGATCTAAATTTTGGTCAAACACTACCGGCCTGCAACTTTTTGGGGCCGAACACATTGATATTTTGTGGGTGACAGTGATACTCAAAGCCACGAAGCCAGAAGACCTTAACCAATTTGATACTATGCTGAAATGTTTGTCTCGTTTTGAAGCTTATATTGTTAAAGATAGGACACTTTTATTTGTTGTCTAAGGACTGCTGTAGTAACTAATCATTATGGTAGTCTTGCTTAATCAGTTTTCTTGGTTCTCTCGTTTGCTAATTCGAGAGCTTCTCTCAAAATTTTCCCAGGATAATTGGAAAGATTTCATCATTGTTTCAGGTATGTGAAGATCAGTTTGGTCATAGCTCATATGCTAGCAGATGACTTAAAAGAGAACCGTGTTAATAATTCAGGCATCTGTTTTGATCCCAAAGGCAAAGACAGCCTTGGCCTCCTGTCAACTTAAGATCAGATGGTGAGAGTGAGCTCATGTTTCCAAGTGCTGAAAATGCTCCTTACTGAAGCAGAGTTAGCCAAATATCTCATTCAGAAGGTAAATAAACTTAGCTTTCTCTACGCTGAATATTAATTGTACGAAAGATCCCAATCTAAGATTTGCATTTATGGCCATAGGCAGAGGCTGCTGGGAAAGGCATCATGAGCATTTTGGGCCAATCTGGCATACATAATCAAGGTAACTGAAGCTTACAAACAATTTAAACCCTGGCTTAGCAGTAAAAGTGAGGACTTGTATAGTTGATCTCTACTTGCTTGCAATGGAGGCATAGTTGTAGTGGTTTTTGTTTGCAGTAAAAGTCCTTTATCTTGTGCTTGCATCGAAATAGCAGACAAGGGAGCACAAAATCACTTTGTTAACTAATGGTGATAATGCAAATGAGATGACAATGTTGTGATAACTAAACTTTTCAGTTTTCAACCAGAATCCTAGGCTTTTGCAGGTTACTGAAGGGGGAGAAGGCTGCTGATACAATGATACTACACTAACATTAGTGTTTTAATATTTCCAACTTGGGTATAAAATCAGTAACAGTTTAAGAGCTTCACTTCTGATATTGTTATCACAAATTATAATTTGTGAAGATTCATCTTGGCAGGGAAGATAAATTTTTGCAAGATTTTACAGAAGAATAGGTAGAGTTAAACTTGAGGCTATTCCTACTCTTCCTACAAAAGATGTGATTAAAATTTTGGATGGTGCCACAGCTGAATGATCACATAGAGGTCTATTTTTGAAACTCCATAGGACTTGGTCTAAGTCTGGTCCTCGGCAAATTATCACGAAATTGTTTTTTTACATGTTTATCCTCACTCTTCTTTTTATTTGCACAGCTTGTGGTAATATTCTGATACTTGAGAAGTTAGCACATGCTATCCCTGTAAATAATGTCTGTAATGCAAACTCGATTTGATCTTCAAGAACACACAAACTTTGTATTGTCAGGACTTCAATCCCATCAATGATAAAACTAACGATGCAACTGTTGGATCGCAGCATGAAGTACTAATAAAATTAAGGGTCTACAACTTAGAGATAAACCTCAGAAATTTATCTGATTTTTATGGTTTTGGAGGTAGGAGATACTCTAGCAAATGAACAAGAGCCAAGCAAGAAAGTCAATATCCATGATGCTTAAGATTTTGCTGACATAAAGAGTGATTAGAATATTGTTTTGTTATATAGTTGTTCCACAAATATGAAAGCAGCTAAACAGGTGCTTAACTTCATAAAGAAAGGAACTTATTAACTAAGAGTGTCAATCAAAGGAAAATATAATACACATCCCAGTACAAATCATCTCAGAAGTGATCAAAAGTTCCATCAGCTGCGCCTAAGAGACATACGTCTTATTAGTTGCTTGATAAAAAATGCACAATTATTTAGCATGAAGACCATTTTCACAATTAGTTATATACCCTTAACTGCAGATAGTCCAAAAGATTGTTCACCTATTAATTCTGTAAGGGACGCCTTATTCTGCACTCGGATGGTCCGATGAACAATTCAGTCTCCACATCTGATTTTTCACTACTCTCTGTACAAAGAGCTTCACCTTCCTTTTCTCCACTTGAGCCTTGTCTCTGTTGAAGGCCACCAAACTAAAACAAGGCACGAGAGAATTACTACTTGCCTTTATTATGATTTTATACTCGACTATGAACTATAGAGTCGAAGAGTTGAAAGAGGACTTAAACTAAGGTTTGAGGCTAAGGAAAAGAAAAATATACCTTCTCCCTCAGTATTGCATTTTCAGAAGCAAGGATTTTCTCCTGGATTTGTTAGACAGGAAAGCATTACATTAACTAGTGAAGCTGCTATTGAGGGACAGAGACAATGACATGCAACAACAAAGTCATGCCATAAATAAGTAGTTTCGACTTTGCAATTTGAGTTATCTTGAATTCACTATTTAAATGATTGCATTATGCATGAATTGTTACTCAAATAATTGTGTACCTTCATGGGAATTGCAGCTCAAAATAAATTAACTGTGGTGTTACCTTTTCTTTTAGTCGTTCAATTTGTTCCTTAAAAACTTGAATCTGAAAAGAATAAGCAAAGTAAATTAAATGTCAAGTACCCAAAACTTCATTAGAACAGATCATTTCTTGGACTTTTATGAAGAAACCTTTCGTGCTCGGATGGTACTGACACTCCGCTCCAACTGTTTTTCTATCTGTTGTAGTTCTACAAGGGAACAGGACTGCAGACCTTCTCCTAAGAGTTTCCTGATGCAAATTCCATTTGTTTCAAAAGGCTTTCAAACTTACTAGGAAAGGAAGAGAAATGACAATGCAACAACTTTTGGAGTAGGGTTTGATTGAACCTTTTAGATTCTTCAAGAAGCTCTATCTTCTTCATCAAACTTGCTGCCGCATGCTGCATATGCTGCATTATTGTGTAAGCTAGATTAAGCTGTTTTTCAATTTTTTTCAAGAAACTAATTGGTTGTCAATTCAATCTAAGGAGGAGGCATAAATCCAAGGCATTACCTGCAGATTCTGTTCCCCAACTTGGTTTTCAGGTTGAACTTTGTCTTTAGTATGCCTCTTATATCGCTCTATTATCTCCTGCATGCTGCCAAATTCTCCCTATTAGTCCTTTTTTCTTTTTCTTTTTTTAATAATAAACACACAGGCTAATAGCATAAAGAATTTTGAATGACAAGTATTCTAATAAGAACATAAGCAACTCTTGGACTCTCAGGTAGTGGATGAATCCACAGGCAAATAGCATAAGAATAGACCTCTATGTGATCATTCAGCTTTGGCAATTTATCTAGTACAGAAGACTTTGGAGTGTGGGCAAACAAGTATGTATTAAATTGCCAGCGTTTAACACAAGACTCACTGGACCTACTACTTTTTTTCACATTTCATTAATTAGACAGTTGCACTTCCTCGTGCTAACGTGCAATATAATGCATCAGAAAGAGGCATGTACAAAGAATTACAGCTGTAAATCTACAAAAATCCAATAAAATGAAGAATCTACAAAATCCTATATGCAGCTATCTAATTGTCTCAGTTAATGTCTATGGGCTTCTTCAATTAGCAGAATCCTCCTACCGAGCAGTATAATGGGCAAATTTCCAAATCCTAGCATAAGCCACCGTGATCTTTGCAAAAGTAGGAGGTGATCCTAAGATGCATGGCCACTTCCGCGAGGCATTTTCTTTGAGCAGGAGTCTTCAACATCTTTCAACTGATAGTAGTGAGGAGCTATTTCTACAAGCCATTCTGGTTTCAGTTCAGTAACCTGCCGAATGTACTCCTTAGTCGTCAGGACCAGCTCGTGGTAGACAACCCATCTAGGAAGCCCCTGTGCTAAACCAGATCTGGGGTGAATGTAAACAGTCTGGGGATGTTTAACAGTTCGATAAAATCCGTTTTTTTGCAGTCTTGTTGAGTGTGGGAAAAATCCTGATGCTATAGACCTCTTTATAGCTTCCCGGTTAGTAACATTTGAAGTCAACTCAATTTCCACTTTTTCTAGCAGGCCTTCCAACTGATCTCGATATCCCTAGCTCTCTTCATGCTTCTAACCTGAATGTAGTTTTCATAGCACCACTCTAGTGAAAAGTTTGTTTCCTTCCAGGAATTGTAAACATTTAGCAGAGCGATATGATCTCCCACGTTGCCCATATGAAAATTCATCCGTGCATTGTCTGCGTGGACTTGTTTGTCCTTTGGACGATAGAAGATTGAATTCCCCACAGAAAGCATTGCAGCAATACTTATTATTTCATCAGAGCACTTGTACTTTTCAGAGGCAACAATCATCTTGGATAGCATGGGATCTAGGGGAAACTCGGCCATTCTTCTACCTATTTTTGTTAACTCGCCAAGCTTATTAAGGGCACCAAGTGCAAAGAGCAGTTCCAGTGCTTTAAGTATAGCTTCTGCCGATGGGGGATCCATGAAGTCAAAATTCACCAAGTTAATAATCCCAAGGCTCTTGAGACAAAGCACCACATTTGCAAGGTTGGTCCTTTGTATTTCAGGGACTGTGTTATCTTCCAAATCATTCATGTAGTTATATGCAGTGTATAATCGAAAGCATTTTCCAGGACCTGTTCTTCCAGATCGACCAGCTCTCTGGTTTGCAGAGGCCTTCGATATAGGAGTGACCATTAATGACTCCATTCCGGTCTGAGGGTTGTAAGACTTTATCTTAGAAAATCCTGGATCAATAACATATTTGATCCCATCAATCGTCAATGATGTTTCAGCAATATTTGTAGCTAGAACAACCTTGCGAGCCCCTGGCTCAAATATCTTGGCTTGTAATTCAGTTGGCAGGTTTGGGTATATTGGGCAGATTATCAGCTCATGAATTTTTGTCCCCAAACCCTTTATCCGGTGCTTAATAATCTCCTCCGCTGTTTCAATCTCCTCCTGCCCAGTCAAAAAGATTAAGATATCACCATCACCAGGTGGTTGAGTTACATGGATCTGAAGAGCAGTGACTACTGCTGCATTCAAGTAATCGGCCTCTGGTGCTTACGTGTAGTGTATATCGACTGGAAACCGCCTTCCAGGAATTTTGAAAATTGGAGCACAGTCAAAATAATCACTGAACTTCTCTGCATCTAGTGTCGCACTTGATATAAGCAACTTTAAGTCAGGCCGAAATCGAGCAATATCCTTAACCAACCCAAACAAAATGTCAGTTGATAGTGTTCTTTCGTGAGCCTCGTCAAGCATGATTACACTATAGCTTGCTAGGTCAGGTTCTCCAACGAATTCCCGTAACAACATCCCATCAGTCATATATTTCAGAATCGTTTTTTCAGAAGTGCAGTCTTCAAAACGAATAGAGTAGCCAACCTCGTGACCAAGTTTGACTCCTAATTCATCAGAAACACGCGCAGCAACACTCATTGCAGCAACTCGGCGAGGTTGAGTACATCCAATCTTCCCACGCTTGGTATATCCCGCCTCGTGTAGATACTGCGGTATCTGTGTAGTTTTGCCAGAACCCGTTTCTCCGACAATAACAAGAACTTGATGATCATTAATAGCTTTGAGCAAATCATCCCTGTAGGGGTAAATGGGCAGAATTTTCCTGTCCCCCTGAAGTTTTTCAAACGCCTATTTAGCCGTAGATTTCTCTCTTAACTCAATGGGAGGCTACTGTTCAACATTAACACCATCCATTACTGATGCTTCAATGAACTCAATTTGATCTTCGAACACAAATTTATAGTCCTCGGATCTTGGCGTTCTGTTTTTCGATCCAAATGTAAGTGTTGCCTTCGCAATCTGATGTTCTTCCCATGCTTCTTATTCCGAAAAAGAGTTCATCTTTTCAGCAACATCTGGATCCCTGTAACGTAGCTTTGCAACTGAAAATCTCTTTTTCTGATTTACACCACCTTCAACATCATAGGCATCAGGCATCTTGTACTCGCCCATGACATCAGTATCTTCTGATCGCTTCTTAACTTGTTCATATATTTGTTGTTTATATCTCAGTTCACATTGCTCTACTTCTGTCAACTTCACTTTGTCAAACAAATATTGATCATCTTCTATTTCGTTTGTGAGTTCCTCTACCTTCTTCTGCTCCCTTTTCTTTAAGTATTCTTTTCTGGAGAGTTTCCTTAAAGTTGCAACTGTTGAAGTTTGGCAAAATGCCAAAGTCCCACATTGGTTGGGAGTTAAGTTTGGGGGGG